CAAAAATAGTAAGCAAAAAATCTGCCAACATTAATTGCATACCATTTCAGGCAAGATTTGTTTTTATTTTTTATTTATTAAGTGAGAAACATTTAAATATGCCTTCAATCACGGATACTTAGTTTTGGTAACTAAATTGCTCAATTTTGGTACAAATAATGCTTTTAAAAATTTGAGTTTTATTTCAATACCAATCCTTTTTAAAATTAATTGATATCAACATTCATTAATCTATATATATTAAAATATGTTGATGGAAAATTCATTTGTGGAAAGTTTCATTTATTTTTTGGTCAAATTTGTTGACTTATCTCTTAAGAAAATATGTCCGATTTTTGTAAATCGATTTACTAAAGCCTTTTAAATTATTTTTGATAGATTTGTTTTGTTTAATATGTACTCAATTACATTTTATATTTTACATGTGAGATATTTAGAGATATTTTACGAAGGTACCTGCTCTATTTAATCAAATATCCATTAACTTTTTTGTTCTCAAACCAACTTCAGAACACCATTTTAATTATATCAAAATATTTTTGTATTTTATTTTAGTTAATATGGAATCAAATTCATTCCATCTTTTAATATTTAGATCAATTTTAAAAAGATATCATCATATTTACATATTGGATTTGTAGATCAATTTTAAAAAGATTCGTATTCCAAATCTATAAATATCCATGGATTTTTTTTTCAAACCCATTTGAAAATGGTGTATTAATTATTTTGAAAATATTTTTTTATTTTACTTTGATTAATATGGAATTAAATACATTCCATATTTTACGAATTTTGTAGCTATTTAAAAAAAAATCCGTGCTCTAATTTTATAAAGATTTGTGCACTTTTTTTTTCCCCAATATGAACGCATCTCTGTTAAAGTTCTAAAAAAATATAGTTGTACAAGATTAGTATCTTTAAAATTGTTTGTAAACAAACCTTATTAACATATAGATTAATTTGAGCCGATTACAATATCAAGGTAAATTGTCTTGAATTTCGTGATAATAACTCAACATTAAAGAAATTAAAATTTGATGCAAAAATAATGTACACAGTAATTTAAAATTTATACGGTCTTATCTATAGGTATCAATATTTTTTAGAAAGCACATCTTGGTTCAAAATTAAAAATTGTATAGGATGTACTTGCATTTTTTCTTTAATATTTTTTGGAAACAAACCTTATCAACAATCTATGACCAATATCTTATTAATATAAATATCTAGAAATTGGAAAAATAAATCGTACCACATAAATAAAATTTTGATGCAAAAATAATGGTAAAACTTTCAAATTCGACGATAAAAGTAACTAACAATATATTTAAAAATCGTACTATTCTTACCTGTTCAACCGAACACCAAAACTGACTGGTGTTGATCGGTTTGCAAGCAAACATTTTATTTAAGTTAATCGGACTGAACAATAAACCGATTGCCGGTCTATTCGGTCGGATGTTCGGTCTGGTCCTGTTTTGAAAACAATAGGTGAATTATATTTAATGTTATTTATATATTTAACTTATGATACAATCATAATATTGTTTCTCCGTGCATCGCGCGGGCCACGTACTAGTAATAACAAAAGAAAATGTATCTCGTAGCTATTATGATGAGCAAGTGGATTTATTTACCACTAGTGATCTTATTAATGTTAATCTTATCATGAATATATAAAAATATGTGAAGGATCATGCCTAAGAATTTGTCTATAAAAGGCAAGTGAGTGTAATGGAATGTTAATCTTATCATGAATATATCCGGTTTCTATATTGAATTATTTATTTTTCTTGCATTTATAACGTGTTACCAGCACAATCGCTCTACACGCTCACAAAAATAAGGAATATGTGGTAAGATGATATTTTAAGGTTATTAAAATAAAATACAGTAAAATATCTCCTCCTCTAGCTAGGTCATAGCAACCACTAAAACCAAGCCCTAAGCTGCCAACAGTTGTCCTCCTCAGGCAACCATCAACAACTCA